CAATAAACATAGAACCCCACCAAGTTAGACTTGTATTGCAGGTGTAAACTGCACATCAAGTTGGAAAAATAAAATAAACATGCTGAAGACTTTTAAAACTTGAATGTAGGCTACACTATTTAAACCCATTTGCTATGTGAGGCTTCCTGAAATCAAAGAACAGATAAAGAAACACATTTAAAATGAAAGTATTATTTACTGATCCATCAGAAAACTGTCAATGAGGCATTTTGGTTTTGATTCTTTGATAGTGTTCTTGATGCATTTTCCCCAAAAATCTCCCAAAATGAAAGCTGTAAATTATCAGCATGACTGGTTGGGTCTACATTACCATAGCACTTCTATTCTGAGAACAGCGTGAAACAATTTACATTTAGATGTGCAGCTAGGAGAAACTGGGAATAAAACCTTCAAGCAGGTTGAAGATTGCCAAATGAGTCAGTGGTCATGTCATAATGTGTCAGCTATCCTCATGTCAATCTTTAATCAATCTTTGCTTCACTCTGCACTACAATGTCCTTTACTCCCCCGAGCACTGTTGTGGAAACTGGCTTGGCTTTTTTTAATAATAGCAAATTTCTTGATATCTCAGCTTGTAAATGTTTCAGAGTCATCATTCAAGTGGCCTCGCCTGCATTTTTTTGGACCAGCAAATGCAGAGGCCTGAATGTTGGATGATTCAAGGAAAGCATGACTTGTCTGATGAAAGCACACCTTCAGAAACTGAGATATGGTCATGTCAGTTACATATTATAAAGAAAGTTTAACAAAAGTGTCAGACACACCTTTATAAAATATGCACACATCACCTGGTGGCAATCTACAAACACTGACATTGAAAAAGGGCACAGCACATTGACATTTTGTCTTGTCATAGCAGGAAAAATACAGGTGAAACTAGTACTGTTAAAATGGCTCTGTTCCATTTAATCTGTACATGCCCACACAGTTCTGAGAAAATGTTTCCTCAGGCGAACTAGATAAAGGACCTGTGCACGTGAACCATGGGTTTGTAGTGCCCTGCTGTTTGTATTTCATTTTATGTCATTTGTTTAGCCTGGGGCCTAATAAACAGAGTGGCTTCAGAAAGTGTTCAAACCCCTTCACTTTTTGCAGACTTTATTGTTGTAGGTTTAATTGTAAATTGCCATTTTCTCCGGTCTATGTACACTCAATAATCCACAATGACAGGGTGAAAACATGATTTTTTTAATTTTTGCAAATTTATTGTAAAATATCATTTGCAAAGTATTCAGAGCTTTGATTTAGTACTTTGTAGAGACCCCTTCTGCAGCAGTTACAGCTTTGAGTTTTCTTGGAAGTCACTACAAGCTTTGCACAACAGCATTTGGGCTTTTTGTCCCATTCTTCCTGGCAGATCCTCTCATGTTCAGGCTCATAGTAACTATGAATGAAGACATATTTGTCAAGTTTGTGGCCTTAACCTTTAAAATTTCATGTTTGAAAGTTAAGTTACTGAGACATTTTTTCATTTGCAGAACATATTCTAGGAGGTGTATTTGTGTTTTCTTGTCAATCTTGTCAATCAAAATGTTGATGAATGCTGATTCATGGACATTTTCAACTTGTTTCTAATGTTTGATAATTATTTGTGATAAACTCAGGTTTACTTCCTTGCTGGTTGATGATGTCACTGATTATCAATTGTGTGTCAAAATATCGGATTAGGGTTTGATTCCAATAGACAAATCCATATCAATATCTGCTTTGGCTTTGTGTATGCAGGTTTCTGCTTTGGCAACATCTTGCTCAGTCTATCTTTTGTCCCAGGATGCACTGTAAAAACACAAGCACACATTCTTTGACATAAAAGGGTTACAAGTATAGTGAGAAATATAAATTACAATTGCACCAACAAACCCAGCTTGTTTGTTGCATCGATACAAGAACACTCTGTTAACTTCTGTTCTTTATTGTGGAATGCAGGAAAAACAACTTTTAGATTTCACGCCTAAGTTAACCTTATCAACTGAAAGGTGATGTCATCTTGTGTTCTCAACTTGTCTCTGCTGTCCCTAAGAGGCCAAAAAGTCAGTTATTGCAGGTTTAAGTAATCAAGTAACACTATCTTAGGAAAATTTGAATTACAATTTTTAGTTTTTTTTAGTTAAGTTTTGAGTTTTCTCAGCTGTTTCACTTTTATAGAAACGGCACTTGATATTGTCAGTTGATTTGTTTACTTTGTCTTAACATGCAGCAAACTTTTTTCCACTTTTGTACTTTTCTGAATGTGACCATTTTTTGAGGAAAGTGTAGACAACCATGTCCCACACAGAGTCCGCATGATGTTTCTTTTCACTTGCCATTAAGGAGCTTAAGGAAGTTGCCTGCATGTATATTAACCTGAACCTGGATGGGTGTTAGGCAAGTTGCTTTGCTACTGCATCATCCTGTTCCCCTGCATTATCAAATCCTATAGCTGACTCAGGGTGTCTTTCTACAGTAAATGAGTCATTCTTTTAAATAAGAAACCATTATCTCATCAAAGTGGCTTTTTGGCAATCTGTGATATATTTGCTCCTCTGTTTGACTCATGGAAGATCTTTTCAAATGATATCCATCCACTGCTGCCAAACACAGCTTTCTTTCCTAAAATTTAAACAGATTTTTCCCTGTCTCTTTTAGTGTTGTGACTATACATCTTAGAATTAAGCATCACATTTTTTTTTACTACTGTTACTAATCAGCTGGGATGAAATACACATACTTCAGCTACTAAATGTCACTAACATAAATCGCTAACAAATAATATATATATAAATTTGAGTCATTGGTCATATGAGATATGTGTCAGATGTATTTGAGCATTAGCAATGATATAACAAATCAATATCCTAATCAAACCCGCGGTCTCTGGATTCTTAGGGTCAAATAAAAATGTTTAGAGCCAAGGATTCAAATCTTGCAGAGGAGGGTCGAATCAATTTAACAAATTACGGATCGAGCGCATTGAGTCGGCGACTCGACACACCGGCGAGGCGCGAGTCCTGGTCATCAACACCGGAGGAACCATCGGGATGACAATTCATGATAACGGTAACTGTGGCTAAGTGAAGTAATTGCACTGTTATTTGTCTGTCCTGTGTAGCCAGCGGCAGCTGACGTGTGGCAGTTAGCTAGCACAGCACGCAGCTTGCTGCTAGCAGGCTGGGTGCATGTTGTTGCCTCATGTTGCTGTGAGCAGGAGGCTTGGAGTAAAGCTTTGCGTGACATCAACATACCAGTACATCCTAAAATAGTCCGGCAAAGAGCTTAGTTACACAGCTGAAGCTAGCTTACAACAGTTAG